CCTCCACATCCCAAATTATTCTTGACTAAATGCTCAATATTAGTATCATCTTAGCAAACCGACAAGTCCATTAGCAAATAGCTAACTCTATGTTTTGATGCATAATGTAAAAATGGAAGTCCCTTTATTGTCCCAGAATGGGGACATTCACTCTCTGCATTTAACCCATCCCCTTGGGGAGCAGTGGGCTGCAATTGTGTGGCATCCAGGGAGCAGTGTGGGGTTAAGGGTTTTGCTTAGGACCCAAGAATGGATGCTGTGGGGATCAAACCTGGTACTTGCAACCTTCTCAGAGCACAAACACACTGCTTTAACCATTAGGCCAACACTTTCCCATCAAGGGAGGCTGATAAAAAAAGAAAAGCAGTTTCTAGACATGCAGAACAAGCAGCTGGAATTTACATAACTAGAAAGATTTGTACATGGAGGTGTTAAAACAAAGATACCACTATTTGTTATGGTTGCATAAATTTAGGTTTTTGCATGTTGTTTCTTTACTTTGCTTGCTTTGTTTGTTACAAATCTAACTGTTTTAAGAGATTAGTACTTGGTATGATATGGAAAGGTTTAACGGAGTAGATATTTTATTGTGGAATTATTTCTGATTAATTCCTACCTTCCTTACTCCAGTAAGGTTTTTCTTGTCTTTTTCATTTTTTTAAGAATGACTAAAAAGCAATCTGTGTCACATAATCTACAAATCTATACCAGAGGGATACAAAATATCTTCAATCACTATTTCATAGGTCCATTGTCACAGTGGTAGAACAAAAGTTATTGACTTGCATTTAAAGCAACACTGTGTAAGTTTTGACTCAAATATTAGAGTAATTTGACATGTATTAATTTATTTTTTGGTCAATATACAGTATTTGATGCTGACTGAGAGGGCCGGACTGTTCCTGAAAGAGCCATGTGATCCAGAGCATTTATTACAGCCGGAGCTCCCTTAAAAACAATAAATATCTAATCTAAAAGTCACTGTTCGGCATCAGAACAGATTTGACACTTACCGGATTAGACATAGTTTTGGTTTTTAATATAAGATTTAATTTAGAAGGGTGGATGTGGTCTTGTCTTTACTAGTGCTGTAACTTAATGTCCTCTCAGTCTGCTTGTACAAAGTGGTCTGATATCAGAACATCGATTGTAATTTTGCACAGTGCTTTGCTGTCAATTGTGGCGCTGGACTTAGAAGTTTAAGGTCTAGCACCCCTAGTGACTAAATGTTGCACAGTGTTGTTTTAATATACTCGGCGTACTGTATATGGACTTTTTTTGGTGTTGCAACAACTCTGGAAAGAGGTTAGTTCATTAACATGTTTTCCAGTTGTGAAACATGTCCTTAATTGGTGAATATTCAAAACATGAAGTTAGAATGACATATTTTTTAGGGTGAGATTAAGCTGCTACAAAAAAAAAAAAAATCCTGGAGGGGAATGTAAATATTTTTGGGAGGGCACTAACTCTTTACAGAGAATGTTTACACCATGTCTTGTATTTCTTTCATCTTATTTAGTTCACACTGAAATGCTAAAATGTCAATTTTCATGTAAAGCAGACACCTAAGACTCTCACTTAGAAGGTGTAAAAATAAAACAAAATATATATTCATCACAGCCAAGTAACACATGCTAAATGATGCCCAAGTCGATGGCTTTCATTTCTTGTGTTGACATTTTAGGCGGCATTCAATACTAGTTGTCTGATTCTTATTAAACCCCCGAGCTATCGCTGAGCCCGTTTTTCCAGAGGCATCTATTTACAACAAATTATTCCTCTGAACCACTGACGTGCTCCCAGTTGATCTCAATACTTCCTGATAAAATGTTCAATAAGCCGCCGTTGCCAAGCAACAAATGCAATTGCGGTTGCGCCGTGAGGACATAGTTTGAGAAAAGAAAAAAAAAGTAGAAACAAAAAATTTTGAGAGGTTCTGAAACAGCACTTCAATGTCCCAATGTTAATAAATAAAAAGACTTTGGGGCTTTGCAGCAGTGGGGAGAAGGGGCTGTGAGACAAACAAAGCTGAATTTGCAGTGGTGAAAGCAAACAGCTAAATATTGTCACTTTCTCTGTGAGTTGGGGCTTGCAGCAGGTGACAAATGAAATTATCAAATCTAATCAGAGCTACTTAAGGGTAATCCTTAGGATGTGGGTTTGCACGCTTGTCCAGAGGTTTGGTTTGAAGGCAGAGTGAGGAGACTGCTGTTGTTTTACAGCTGGTAATCCGCTCAGTGCTGAGATAAAAGCACTTCTTTACCAGCGTGCCCACAGTAAGAACAAGCCTCATTCACAATTGAGTCAAACATCTTATTAAGGACTGAAAAAGGACAAATAACTGACAAATGTACATGTTGGTTCAAAGAACAGATTGCTATTTGCCTGTTAAGTCTTTACTGTATCAAATGTATTCTTCGAGTGTTAGAAAGGTTGCTGTGCACAAACAACAACAGAGATAGGTCAACTGGCCCAAGTAGATGTGCAAACTGCTCTGCTTTAATAGTACGCATCAATCTGACACAAAGGAAGTCAAACCAAACGCTGCTGACAAAGACATATCCAATAGTCTATAAACGGATAAAAAAAAAAGTATAAAAACGAAGAGTAGGGGATGTCTATCCAGAATGCCTGCTGCAGGAGGATAATTGCCATCTGGATGGCAGCCATACACTTTAAACAGCACTGAGATTTGTTCTTTGTATGAACACAAAATGAACACTGGATTTCTAGTTGGTGCATGCACTGCTCTAACACTTGACTGGCTTCCAGCTTTAAGATTTGCAGCGAAAACACACGGACATTGAGAGACAATACCTCTTCTGAGGTATAGTGGATGGTAGCTGTTAAAAGTCTTATTTCACATTGCCTCTTAAGCTGCTCTCTTCCTCTACACCTAAGTGCGTAGGAGATAATATTTTTATTTTGTAGGTTGAAAATGAACTGCTTAAGTCCATACAGGCACATAAGAGTGAATTACAATATTATTTAAAATCAATTTAAACCAGTACCTTAATTTAAAAAGTAAGAATATATAACAAATACATTAATTTCTAGCAAAGTCAGTTTCACCCTTTTCAACTGGTTTTGGCCTACAGATGCAAAACCAAATCTTCAATTTCTCTGAAAATGTGATTATATTTTAAGACATATTGACAAGGATTTCTATTACAGAAATGCTATATCTGGGTTTTGCAATGGCTAAAAACATCACAGAAAATAGTTCCTTCTGACATTACCATTACCACCTTCCACTTAACTGTTGCAACAGCTGTTATTTAATAAAGTTGGCTGTTTAGAGACTAAGGAAAAAACTAGGCTTCAGAAAAGGTGCACGAGCAACATGATAATTTCATTTAAGAATTTGGGGCAGAATGGTAAATGGCCTGTACTTGTATAGCGCTTTCTGAAGTCAGGAGATGCAAGGATACACTTTACACTACATTCAGTCATTCACACACACACAGACACACACACATTGATGATGGCAAGCTAGATTGTAGCCACAGCTGCCCTGGGGCTCACTGACAGAAGCGAGGCACACAGGCGCCACTGGGCCTTCTGATCGCCATAGGAATCACACAGCAAGAATTGAGGCTGGAGCCAACACAGACACGTGTTTCCAAGACGAGATACCTGTTATAGTACTTTTTGTACAGAACTAGCTACCTCCACATTAGAAATAAAAACCAGGATAATTTTGTCTGAGCTAAGGAAAAATGACTAAAGTGTAGCTATGGTGTCCTAATCTAGTTTTCAGATGAAAATGATAAATGGCCTGTGCTTATATATTCAAGTCAAGAGACTTGATCAAAGCGCTTTAAACTATATTCAGTTATTCTCACTTTCACGAACACACGCACACACAGATGGTGGCAAGCAAACTCAGCTGACTTGTACCCCAGAGAGAATCTAGAGTGTCATGTCAAAAGGAAGGTCAGAAGTGCTAAACCCAGGCCTCCATGTCAGTAAGACTTGATGCAGTAATTTATGCAAAATTAGCCCTAACAGATTTAGAATAAAAGATCTCCGTCTTGCATAAAAGTTGAGTATAACATATAGAAAATATTTCAGGTATTCAGCTCATTAGAATTGTTAGGAGTGCCTGAAAGTTTGCACTTATGACTTAGTTAAAAATAGTCAAGCAAGGTACCAAAATAAAAGATTTGATTAAAAAAAAGGAGAAAAAAGCTGCCCTTACCAAAATTAAGTGAATATTTGGCAGATACCACCCTTCAGTAGGGCACTTCTGTATAAAAATCCATATCAAACAACGTTATAGGTTTAATTAGCTGATAGCCATATTGATCTAAATTTATCCCCCTAAAAAAACGAATGTCATATATTACCATTTTTTTAATCTATCCATACTGCATATTTGTATACATTTTTATTTAAAAAAACAACAAAATAACATTTTGATAATATTCTAATTTACTGATATGTGCCTTCATATCCATCTTTATTAAACTCTGCTCTCATATTTCTCTTCGCTGACAGTATGTGGATATTACCCAAAAATTGTCACTCTAAGTTGATTCTGAATCATGTATTTTATGTGGGTCACTTTCTGATTCACAGTCAACAGCATTTCAATGGTTGCACTAATGATGAGTAAAATGAAAAATAAATAACAGATAGTCACATATGCTTCAATAATTGCAAAACAGCAAACGTTTAAGCAAGTGAACAAAGAAGGAAGACATTCCCATATAACAATATTTACAGACTCTTCAATGTGAAGATTGATTCCAAAAAATCCCATTCAAGATTCAAATGGTCTTAGTTTTCAGAAACACAATGACATAAATACTCATAACGCAACATACTGGAATCAAGAAGGCCTGCTGTGGGTCTTTTCTTGTATCCAGAAAGATTTTCTGGCAGGCTTTCAGTCCGTTTTATCCATTCACACAAATGTCTCCTCATCTAGGTCCTTTTTTACAGTATTTTGTTCCTGTGATTTATCCTCTCATATATATATATATATATATATATATATATATAAAAACCACACCCTGTCTTCCTTAAATGAGTCAGTTGATTGAAAATGGCTTGTGGAGCTAAGCGTCTGAAATCAAAGTAAGCCTGAAGTGAAACCTGGGTGATTTTTTTTTCTCTTCTTTTTCTTTCAGAAGATACCCTTGAGGAGAATAGTTTTCTATTTTCCACAGTGTTGCTCATTCTTGTTTTAAGTCTGTATAACAAATAACACCTGTACATAAAATTCAAGGGAGTGCTCAAACTTTAGAGGCTAAATGCCAGAGGAAACATGTCCACCGAATGCAGGTTCAATCTTGAAGTCTTTAGGTTTGGATTCAATGATTGTAAGAGAAAACCTAGTAACGAATAAATTAATGAGAAATTATTTTGTTCACTTAGGGAATCAATGATCAAACCTATTAAAATTGTACTTTTCCATGAATGGCTACACGGATTCAGTCGGGGACTGGTCATCATTGTGGTGCCTCATTGATTGCACACTGGTCAGTATTTTCTTCTGATGTCCAGCAAGAGATATTCCAATCCGGTCCAGGTCCCTGTGAAGATGTGGAAACAGGCATATCTTACCAGCTGATAGTGTAGGAATAATGTGTTGATATAATTTATGATTGACTGGAGTGGAAATTACTGGTACACTCAGGGCCAGCCTTGTAAAACTGCAAAAAAATGTAAAATTGTCATTTTAATATTATTTATATTGGGACAGCTTTATCTGTTTTTAAATTCCTGTTTATAATAATTGAAATGATCTAGGTAAGAATGTGTTAAAAAATCAAGCATAACTCAGTTTTACTCGACTGATGCTAAAAAAGAAACAAGAAAAGGCATAGCCCAAGCGTCCCATGTATATTGCAATATCCACGGCTTCATATTGACTATAAAAAAATGTAACATAACCAGCAGTTTTAAAACCTAATTAAATATACATGCCATGCTGAATTTATGATGCAAGGAGTGCAAATTAAAAACCCAAGAAATGTGAGTTCAAGCGGGTCACCCGTCCATTTTTCTCCGAGGAAGTTGTTCATGCTGCATGAAATGTGAAACAGAGTTCACTGGCTCATATACCTGCAAACTCTTTTTTTTTCACACTAGTGAGTTTTGGCATATACATTTAATTAATCCCTTTGGGTGGATTTCCACTTTGTATTTAAGTCCTGTAGAATATTTTAGGTGCAGAGAGCACTGATTGAAGCCTATGTGGATCAACTGTCTTTAAAGGTAGCCACAGAAAATAATGGTATCACTTACTGGTATGGAACATCAGCAGCTGTAAAGTCTATTGAAGCATTTATGCAGTTTTGCAACTATTTTACAAATCTGTGCTATTTAAGGGCACATGATCTAAAGAAAGGTAGCAAGACATAAAAAGTAAAGAAAAAAGAATAATAAAGATAAAGAGTGGGCAGCAAAAGACAAAACAGAAACAATGGCAGTTAAATCAGACATACTCAGCTGTGATTTGTGTGACTAGCGGCAAAGATGTGAACCCGGATCCGATGAAGGAGTCTCTATACTGGGTCATCTTTAGAGCAGCCAACCAGTCCTCAACTGAGCTCAGCCTGCTCAGATCTGGAGCTCCCCGGTCTAACAAGGGATGATGTGGAGGACTGCAGGGAGCAGGCAGAAGTAAACGGGTGATTTTGATCTCAACTGTATCACAGAAACAGAGCGTGTTTGGATATGGAAATCAGTTAATATCTCTATTCACCCAGGAGCTATGTTGTTGGTGCCGGATTTCAGTGAGGCGGGGTTACGGATCATTTTGTCCAACATGCTGACGATATCAGAGAACTTTGGCCGCGTGTTTCTGTCTTTCTGCCAGCAATCCAGCATCAGCTGGTGCAGCACTACTGGACAGTCCATGGGAGCTGGCAGCCGGAAGTCTTGCTCTATGGCATTTATTACCTGGGACAAGAGAAGAGACATGAGGAAAAGTTAATAAAGTTAACACATTATTTAACAAATGATANGATAGATAGATAGATGATAGATAGATAGATAGATAGATAGATAGATAGATAGATAGATAGATAGATAGACAGACAGACAGACAGACAGACAGACAGACAGACAGACAGACAGACAGACAGACAGACTTAGATACTTCAGGTTCAATTTTAATTTTCACTGAGTTACAACACTGATTGTCCACAGCCATCTACTTTTCATAGGAAATTGATAAACAGAGCACAAAAATGCAAACCATAATCTAATAATAAAATGTTTAAGGTAAAGCATATAAAATACTACAACTCTTTAAAATGTAGTAATAGCAGCGTGTATATCTGAGTAATCTGACCTGAATTCACATGAAACAGTGATAGAAAAGTAAAAATCCAAAGATATTTAGAAAGTACAAAAAATATCCATGTAAAATGCCAACAAGGTCCAACATTGGTTTGTTTTAAAATGATAAATGCAATAAATGCTTACTGGTCAAGTCTGTAACTTAAAACCAAATGTGCATTTTTTTTAAACAGCTGTAAAGTTAAACAAAACCTGTTCCAATATTTTTATTTTATTATTTATTTCATTGCATCTGCTGTTTTGTCACGTCTCCAGGTGAGGAAAAAATACATCGGGATATACTATAGGACATGGAAAAACATTCTAAACAATGCGAATCTACAAAGGAAGTATTTCTATCTGTCTACCTGACCTATTGGCTTTGTCACAAATCTAGATCTTTATGATCTCTGAATTTCCCAACTAAGCCGCAGTTCTAAACATTTCATCTGGTATAGTCAACAACATGGTGTCAGTCTGATGATCAAAGAGACAAGCAGCGCGGAGCTGTCATGAAAGCTGAAAAGGATCACAGAGACAAACTGCTTCTTGTGAGCCTAATTTTCCATTAACCTTTCTCTGATCCCTTCTTTTTGTCATCATGTCTGAAAATACACCTACACACAGCAAGCTCTACATTAAAATGTTAAAAGGGACCAATTAAACAAAGAAAGAATGTATAACTTGTGTTTTGTTTGGTAATTCTAGTATAAATGGAGGAGTAGACCCCTTTACTCTACATTTCTGTTCTTAGCGTCTGCAGTCAAAGTAATATTGTTCAGTTTATGATATAGATGATTAAAAAGCAGACAAAATCAAAATGAGGCAACCTAAAAGCGTTTAGGGATAAGCAGCACAGCCTGATGGGAGTACAGTGCCATGAAGGTGATTAGGAGTGGGTGTTTCTTAAATGACAATGTTGCTTGAGAAACCTCATTAGCATAGAAGTAAGAAGATACAAAAAACATACATCAAAGGCAGAATTCTGTTTTTCTTTTTGTTTTTAATATTAACTTTTGTTCATGTTACTTAATAAAGGCTGAATAAAGAAAAACAGAGGTGAGATATTTTTGAAAATGTTTCCTTTCACGGTATTACTAAAGTGGTTATGGTTGATACAGATTTTTTCTCCAGAAGATACTAGTCATCACCCACTGGTCATTGGGGCAAGAGTCTAGGCAGAGACTCCCAGACTTCCCTCTCCACAGACACCTCCTCCTGCTCCTCTTTGAGAAGTAAGAGGCGCTCCCTGGTCAGCCGAGAGACATGACCAAAGTCATGTTGGAGGATCGTCCCATGGGCCTCCTCCCAGTAGGACGTGCCTGAACTACCTCCCAAGGGAGGCCACACTAACCCTAAAGCCAGGCATACACTGTGCGATTTTTTCAATCATTGCACGCAGCTACAGCTCACACTGTACGGCGAAACCCAGCGGTTTCATCGTACAGTGTGAGTTCACAGCTCACGATGTACGTGCAGCATGCCGCTCTGATGCGATCTACCTGCTCGCTATGTATGTCTAAAACCACATCGGACTCAGCTCTGCAGTGAGATGGCACTTCTCTGACTCGTCTATCCAGAAGCCAAACAATTGGAAGAGGAATATGAAGCTCACTAGAGTGAAACGCGCTGCCTTGGCAATTTGTGCAATTTTGTGTGCTGAAAGCCCTAAAAAGAAAAGGCGGCGACTGAGCAAAGGTGGCTACTACTGTGGTAGCTCTTTGGTGTGTCAATTTTACAGAAAGAACTCCATTTCACTCGCACCCTCACAGTGCTTCTGTGTTTACATCTGTAAGGCAGAAGAAGAAGAAGAATCCTTGTTTGCGCATGCCCACTGAGCAAATTGCCCACAACGGTCGACTGAAAATCAAACATGTTTGATTTTCTCCCGACCTCACGATTCCTGATCGGGAGGTGGTCGTAAGAGGCTGATTGCCCCTCGTTACCCCCTGTACACTACAAGACGCACACACATGATCAGGCTGAAATTCCGGCTGGCCGGAAAATTCTCGTATGACTGGAAAGTCGCCCCGAAAAGCGCAAAATATTGCACAGTGTAAATAAATGTCTCAGGCATCTAAGCTGACTCCTCTCAATACGGAGGAGAGGCAGCTCTACTGTACTGTATGCCTATCCTCTTCCTGGAGACTGAGCTCCTCACCCTATCTCCAAGGGAGATCCCAGCCACCCTTTTGGAGAAAGCTCATTTCAGATTCTGTATTCAGATTCTTAATCTCTCTGTCATAATCCAGATTTCATGGCTGTAGGTGAGGATAGGAATGTCGACCGCAGTGTCCACATTATAGCAAAAGATGCACCAATCTGTCTATCGATTTCCCGTTCCATTCTCCCCTCACTTGTGAACAGGACCACAAGATACTTGAACTCCTCCACTTGAGGCAGTAACTCTTGGATGCTGGATGAATTATTTAGAAGATACACCAAGCTTAGTCACCTTCTCTCTTTATAGATCATAACTTTATCTGCAGGCAAATGGATCTGGTTCCTGACATCACCTCAACCTCCTCAAACCTATCTGTCACTCCTCACTTCACCACTGTCTCACTGTCCTTTTTGAAGTGCCTTGCTCATCTACTTTTCCACCCATATAATAAATGCACTGATACTTTTTTTTTTGTTTTTTTTTGTGACTATATCAATTTATATTTTTCATTATATTTCATAGCAGTGAAGGGTAGAGATAAAAAGGAAGAAGCAGAGTACTGTTGTGGTCTCATTAAGGAAACCTGGTGCATTTGGAAGAACACTTTCTCTAAAGTCAGCTTTACATGAGAAACAGTTGACAGTTTAATTTCCATTTATGCAGTTGCACAGTTTATTCAGATATTCTATCTTAAAGCAGCAGTGATTTCTTCCCCAAGTCTTTCACTGAGGCAAAACATTTAAACAGCTTATATTTCCAAGCTTTTTCCTTTATTTGCATAAAAAATAAAGATTATAAGGTAGGATATTTTAATAAACAGAGAAACTCCACAAATTTTTTTAGGATTCCAAGGGGAAAATATGAAATTAAGCCAGTAATCGCCTTCTGAAATCCTTAAGCACTATATGTCATTAACAGCGAATTATTTATTTATACCACATTGTGATGTGTTGATTACTCTGTCAGATAACATGCTGGCAGTTTACTCCCACAACAATGACTATATATATCTGTCTTGTTTAATCAGAAAGGGGATATTCTTTCTAGAGTACAGAGAGATCAACAGGAAAAATATAACTGCAATGTTTGCCTCCAGACAAGGTAGCCCTTTCAAATCTGTTTGGTAGAATTTAGATTAATCAGGGTAGAGATAAACTAATAGATTTTCAAACATAAAAAAAACATTACTTCGTGTAATAAAATGGTCTGACAACAATCGACATGGTATAAGTAAATTACCATATTAAGCTATCAGGGTTTTTTTCTTAGTCATTCAGTAGTAACACTAAAATCTTAATTCCCTTGCTAGCATATATAGAAGAATTCATTACAATGCCAATCTCTGAGGTTTAATTAGTTTTACTAGGTTATAATATTGATGTTACTTCGATATGTAAGAAAAAATTTCAAAGAACCAAAGACATGAATAAAATTCTGCTAAGGCAGTAAGTCGGTAACTACAAAATGTAATTAAAAATGTTGTATTGCCCCTTAAAACTGCATATTAAGGTTTGCTTGTAGACATACTTGGAATATTTTCAGGCTTTATTTTAGCTTGTTTTGGAGCAGCAGCAGTTTCATAAAGATAACAGATGCTATGAAGAGCCAGTAGCAGCATAACTATTTCAGATGGCACAAAATCCAGACTACTATGAGAAATTCCTAAAATCTGTGATTTAGCAAAAATGAATGCAGCAAAAAAACAAAACAGGTATGATTCATCACACTGTTGGGCATCTCTTTTCCTATAATAGTGTCCAGCATCTTTTTAAAAGGAACTAAGATGTGCAACTTGTTTAGAGACTCCTGTTTTTTAGGTCATGAAACATACTTGATGACCATAGGTTAGTATCAGATTAGTATATCTGAGGTATTGCCTTCCAGTTCACCTCCTTTTTCAGAAGAACACCTGAGAATTACTTCAAAATAAAAACATTCATATTATTTATTTATGAAATCTCAGCAAGGTTACAGATTGTTTTGACCTTTTCCTACTTTCTTCCATATACTCCCTGAATCTGCTGTTCATATATTAATGTCACCAGTCATTTTCTTTTTTTTAATTCTGTCATCCTACTAAAAATATCCTGACACTTGCCATGTTCACTGTCTGCCTCAGTTCATGACCTCTGCCACTTTTTGGACTTCTACTTGTCAGCTTCTTTTACTATGGACTTGTCTGAAACTCCTTTGCTGTGACTGACCTTGTAAACTGTCTAACTCCTTTTTTTTTTTTTTTTTTACACCTGTGACTGATGACAAGGCTCTTCAAGTATAAACCAAACTTTGGTGCTTACTCTCCCGCAACCATTCAGCTATTGAATCAAAGAAAAAAAAATTCTGTTTATTTTCTTTGCTTCCTACAAATTATACATAAGTGAGCAACTGTGTGTCTGTGAGTTGTAAAAAGGTGCCACTTGTATAACAGTCTTGCTTACGATTAAACTGCTTCCAAAATGAACTCTACTTGACCCAGACACACTTCTTAGGCTTTGTGATGCATAAATTCAATCTAAGCATCCATGCCAATCAAAATAGTAGCAAGTGTAGTGAAACATCACAGGTCTCTTTCATGATTAATTCATGTCGAACACTGCACCTGCGGTGGCTCCTCCGATGATTTCACCGCTGTGTTCTTTGACATCGTGTGGATGTGTGTGTGTGTGTGTGTGTGTGACTTTACGCATGTCAGCGTGCAAAAGTGTGGGTGTGGTTCGGCTCAAAGCGGGTCTATATGTGTGATAAGTGTGAGCTGAGGGTGTAAGCTCCATGCATAGTTAATGCCCCAGCAGACCCTCGTTAGCCATACTGGAAACACACACTTCTCCCCCATCATTATACACAGACTGTTCCATTATAAATCTGTCTCTGTCATTATACTGAATTTCTGTCATTACAGCTCTAAGGAAGCTGCAGCTTGGGGAAGAGCAGTGAAGGCGCAAAGGAAGGAGGAGGCGAGAGGAAATGGCAGGGAGGAGGTAAGGGATTAAGGCGAAAGAGTACATCAGAAGGAGGAAGGAGACAGAGGGATGATGAGTTGGGATTATTTTAGAGTATAGTCTAACTTTAAATGCCCCCTGCAGTTGGAGATATTAGGGAACAGTGCAGCCGATTAACTCTAACGGAAAGACAACTAACATGAAAACTCAGACATTCTTTCTGCACTGTACCGTTCAAAAGTTTCAGTCTCAGCCTCTCTCTTGCTCTCTCTTCATAGATGTTAGAGATCAACTGATACAGGTTTTTGAAGGCCAATGCTGATAACAGTTATTTTTTGTATATGCTGACAATTATTTGTTTTACAGGATGAGTTTATACTAATAATAATTTAACTTTATTGAGGTAATATACCTCTGCATTTAACCCATCCCCTTGGGGAGCAGTGGGCTGCTATTGTGGGGCATCCGGGGAGCAGAGTGGAGTGAAGGGTCTTGCTCAGAGACCCAGAGTGGTAGTCTGTGGGAGTGGGGGTCGAAATCAGAACCTCAGGGTTCTAAGCTCTACGCCCTAACCACTAGGCCGCCACTCCGCCTTTGATTTTTCTTTTTCCATTTTTATGCAAAAAGTGACACAACGATCACACAAATTGACCCAGAGATTGACACGAATCTCAATAGGAACAAAACTTGGCATTAAGAACTGTTAGCAGGGAGTGGCAATGCGTGTGCTTCATTGGTGTTACTGTTTTAAATTCTGAAGCATCAGAGCCTTGCTTTAAATTTCATGAAGGGTTGTCACTAAAGAGGCTTAGCATTTAAAATACAGACAAAAAAGAAATGGAAAACCAGAGGAGGTGAGAGAAAAATAAGCTGAATATGATAAAGAAAGTACTATGGGTTTCTGAAAGCTTGTCTACCGAACTTAACTTCCTGGAACCTTCAAACTACCTTGGCTGTTGTCTTTGTGGGTCTCCAATTGGAGCCCGAAACTGACCATTTATATAGATATCCTCCCCTGGCCCTGACCCAGTATTCTGCCAACAGCAACAGCAGAGCCCAACATTCGATTAAAACTGTTAAATTTATACTAAGTAATTATTCAGATTGTATTTAATTATTGTGAGATTATCCTATAGTGTTGGTGATTCAAAAGCCATGGACAGGCAATGTAAAATCTAAGAAACTGTGTAGACAGACTCCATTTTAAATAAATCCTGTTGCACATGACTCTGCAAAAGAAAATAACAAAGTAAATCCTGTTTAAGTAATTTCCCCAAAGTTCCATATCAGTTAAGCTCAAAAATCAGATCAAAACCACCTTTAATTTGAAAAAGCTTCGAATAATTTAGACCTTTCATAAAAAAAACTCTTCAGAATGTGTCTCTAAACTTGATCATACAGCTCTCTCTTTACCATTAGGGTTTAAAATTGTTAATATTCAACCAACCAACACAATTTCGATTATATTTAATTGTATCTCAGGTGATAAAATGACTTTTCTCCCTCTTTGAAGATCTGCTCTACATGTGCTCTACATTTCTCCAACAAAGTTGCAGCAAGTACGAGGTGTAGAGCTTTCTAAATGCTTTTGGAGCTTGATCTTTATTGCTAGATGAACCACTACATAAAAGTCATGCCAGACCTTTGAGTTTCTCCTGTGATTAACTGCGATCATTTAATTAAACAGCCTCTAGTTAACTAGAATAATTTCAGTCATGTCTTAGCACTAGTATATATATACATATATACAGTCCTACTCTATAATTCAGAACATTATTGAAGGGTTCATGAATTGCAGTATTTCAAACACGTAGATTATATAAATTAATTACACAGGCAGTTTACTTATAAAAATGTTTTGCTTAGAGCTAATGAACATAATGACAGTGAAGATTTGTAATATTAATATAATATTATACAAAACGGACATATTTTGGATAATTGAACTAAAGGAGATCATTGCAAAGAGGAAGCCATACGAGAATAGAAACAAGAAAAAGAAAAGTTTTGTAATATTAAATCTCAATTGTTTAGAAAATTGTTTTAAAATATATATTTTTGATGATGTAACTAATACCTTTTTTAAGTTTTACCTTTTCAAAAGGTACATTTAATCTGACAACCAGCCTCACTGGAATGCAAATTCAAATTTATTGAATATGACTATATATCTGCATCTGAGACTTTGTGTCAAACTATTACACACAATATAAAGTTTCATAAAGCCGGATTTGGGATTTGGAGCCCTGGTACTTTAAAGTAGGCTTTACTCCTAAAACAAACTAGAATCTCAGATTTGAATCCCCAAAACTGAAAATGTCTGTGAGCCAGTTTTTCAGAACCTATTGTTTCATGTTCAGAACATGACTTTCCTTTAGTCTCAACAACAAAATTGAAAACTCAGGGATCGCAGGGGGAAAGTATTTTCAGGAATTATACCTGACAGATAAACAGCAGAGATATGGGAATGTCTTCTTTTATAAACCCGGTGATTATTTCTTCCCTAAACCACAGCAGGACCAATCTCATCTCAGAGCACTTAATAGCATCAACGTGATGCAAATCTAAAAGAAATAAAGTATAGAAATGCTGCAGCAAATTGATCATACTGTGAAGGTAATTGGAATAAACCTGCCACTACAATAAAATATTGCCTGCAGCAAACATCTGCAAGAAAGCCCAATCCTGATAGCTTTGGACTAAAGCTCTGGGAAGAAAAACACATGTGACATTTGAATTGATATCCTCATTTGCTGCGTGTTTTCCTTAGACATGTCGACTCCCTGCTGGGAGAGACTGCAAGGAAAAACAAACAAGCGCAGCCTCCAAACACCAAAGAGTGGCAGACATCGCAACAAAAGACAGTCTTGCTCTTCAACATGTAAGCTGGTGCTGACTTACATCTTGGTTGCTCATGTCCCAGTAAGGTCTCTCTCCGTACGACATCACCTCCCAGGTGACAATCCCGTAACTCCAGACATCTGAAGCAGAAGTGAATTTCCTGTAGGCGATCGCCTCTGGAGCCGTCCACCGCACTGGGATTTTACCCCCCTTAGGGAGAAAAAAGAAGACAAGACAGATATAAAGGATGACAACAAAAAAAGAAAGGCTGCATTCAGGGGATTTGTTGTGCTTAGAAATTCAGCTTAAGTAGAACAAAGTATAGATAAAAGGTCATAGGAAGTGCATCAAAATAAAGTGTACTTTACTTGCAGCACATGCAAGTTTAAAAGAAATAAGAAAACTATATATTGATTATATTCCAAGCAGTGGGCCAATTTTTCCCTGGTAATAAAGAAAAAGCAGATGTTTGTTAAGATACACCGCCAAACCCAAACAAACACATCTGTCTTTTCTTTCCTAATGAAAACAAAGCATTGCTGGAACAAAAGCTTTTCTTTTCAGGCTGCTGGCTAAAATCCAGGATTTAAGGGTGGAATATGTTTCTACTATCTGTCAAAAAAAAGTACACAAGCTGTCACAAAATCAATGAAAGAGGTTGTTATTTCATAGCAGGGTTTTTCCCTGCTTAGGACACAGTACAATAGTTCCCAGAAAAGTTATTCTTTTTCTTACCAGTGAGCTGGTGTAGGTGGGGTCCGATGTGTCCTCCTCCAAATACCTCGATAAGCCGAAGTCGGACACCTTACAAACCAGGTTACTGTTCACCAGTATGTTCCGTGCTGCTAAGTCCCGGTGAACATAGCTCATCTCTGCCAGGTACCTGTAACATCAACAGGATTTACTGACTGAATGCTTCTTATCTGTTTCCAGCTTTGGTACAATAATGGAATTTAGAGTGTGTATTTGGGTCTTTGTGTGCTTCCGTGCTCTTGTGTGTGAGCTTTCCCTGCCAGCCACATTCGATAAAATCGTAACGAGATTTAATATTTATGTATACGTTCATGTTTGCGTGTTATCACTGCCTGCAGTAAAACACAGATAGGATCTGTGTCCTACAGCGGGATAGGATGTAAGATCTCAAGCTGCCAAGTCACCAAGTTGTAGCGCTCCGTGTAAATACCTGGGCTTACATTAAGGCAGGTAGAGAGGTTTAACTATGTGCAGTTCCGCAAAAGGATCTCAATCACAGAAGGATCAGAATATTTTCCCTGTTTATCTTTGTAATAAAAAGGATCAGTGTGTTAGAAGTATCTCTGTGTGTGTCTGCACCTCATTCCAGATGCGATGCCTCTCAGCATGCCGACCAGCTGGATTACAGGAAACTGTCCATCATTTTGCTAAACAGAAAAACACAAATTAATCTAAGTTTGTATTTGACTTACAAAAACCTTTTAAAATGCCAGCACACATTATAAAGGTACTATCATTGTTAAAGATCTCAAAGATGTAGGACGTCCACTTTGAGTGGATTTTGGTTTCAGAAGATCTTTTAGGGGAAAAAACTCATGTTGGCTTTGTGATAAACATTTAGAACCGTGAATTAAGCATGAAGCTGTTGCGCCGATGTTTAAGTTCAGTCTTCACTGACAGAAATCTTGGATCATCCTGAATAAATAGATAATTTAAGATAAACTATTGCCATAAATTTATATTTTCAACATCTGCAACTGCTGTGCAAGCACAGATCTGTGAATGGTTATGAAAGATGTACATTTTCTAAGAGACAGTCTAAAAGTTAATGGTGCCTAGTGACATATTATTCCTAAAAAAAGAAAAATCCAAACAATAGTATATGGTTATGTTGAAACAATGCAATATACTGTATATAAACGCTTGTTACTTCTGATAGACCTTACTTAGTCTATTTTGAACCTTATGCCATCTGCCCCTTTGAAGTTGTGCTTTACCTTCTCCTTTCTAGACAAATAAACGATTGGCCAGGTTACAAGAAAGGTACAGTTACACTCTAGAAGAACATTTCAATTATTTAGGAAGAATTTAAAATGGACACTCTTCACCCATTCTGAGCTTGATCTGTTTTCTTTTGCTAAACATTTAAAGACGCACTTAAAAGGCTAGCATCAGTTCTTCAAAATCAAACATTCTCCACCAAATAAGTGAATCAAGGGGGTAGCATTCTAATGCACAAAGCATCCTTTATATTTGTTTCTGTAAAAAGTTGCAAATCATTTCCTCCCCTTAGCAATTAGGTACCACTTTGTTACTTGATCATAAACACATCAAAGACTGATTTAAGTCTGTGACTGTCAGGAAATAAACAACTCAATAATTTCAAGGGATACAAATATTTTAAGCAAGGCACTACACCTTTTCTAGGAGAGTAAATAGAGATCTGAAAAAAAAAAAAATCCCAGAATTAATGGATGTTGAATAAACAGAAACACATTGTTTGTTTGTCTGGTCACAGATAAAAGCCTGAGAATGGCTTATGATTCCTCCTTATTAAAAAGGACATTTGATTAAAATCTTTGCCTGAAGTGGGCTGATGGCACAGGCAGACCCTTTGGGACACCCTGACATCTTTACAGACATTCATTGCCATGCTTATAATCCTTCCATTAAACGATTAATACAGATAAAACAATTTGTGGGGCATGTTTATAGGATTCAGTAGGTACTGTACCTTAACACGGGGCGCACTGACTTAAAAATAGATATTTGGTTAAACTATTTTGGCTTTTTGCTTTTTATTCTCTCACTTCTGTAAATCATCACCTCTGTTTCATTTAAAACCTTGGTGTCGACCCCCACTGACATAGCTGCAGTCTGAGTTGTGTGTCTTTTAATTCATTTTGTGTGTCAAACTGAGCCTTTGATGATCCCCTGGCCTAATCCTCCAAAGGGAAAAAAAATGCTTCTAGGTGCAAACACGCAAGCCTTCTGCATCTTTGCTCCAGGTTGTGTGCCTTCAGCATGGTCACAACAGCAACACCAGCAGGATCGATTGCTGTGCGTGTGTACGTGTGCGAGTCATCTGATGGGTTTCTGAGTCAAATGGGGTCACACTGTGAGAACTGGGCATCAAAGAGTTTTCTCTTTCTGTTTTTAGCAGCACCTCAAAAGGAGGCCAGGATCAAAGACATGGACAGGCTGGCAGCATGAGGGAGAAAGAGTGCAGGAACAGAGCAAAAGCTAGAAAAGGAAGAATGGGAAGCTGTTTCTTTCTCCCCTTTCTTGTTTTGTCATTTTTGAAACCCCCTGTCCTCTCTTCAACTGGTTCTTTGTGTTAACAATACACTGTTTGCATAGTGTGCGAACATTTGTTTGTTGAGAGTGTCTACATAACTAAAGCCTTGCTTTAGTTTGTAAACAGGGTAAGATGCATGCACGCTCCTTACCCTCAAAAATGAGTCCAAAGCTCCATTCTCCATAAACTCTGTGATGATCATCGTCGGTCTGCTTTTAGTGACCACGCCCTCCAGTCTGATGATATTTGGCTGGTCAAACTGGCCCATGATTGATGCCTCGGCCAAGAAATCTCGCCTCTGACGCTCAGAGTAGCCCACCTTAAGCGTCTTGATCGCCACAGGGATTTCTTTTTTCCCAACAGGTTTCAGGCGACCTTTGTAAACCTCTCCAAACTCACCTTAAGAAGAGTAAATATTAGAAACAAATATTAGGAAAATAAAAAATGGGAAAACTCTAATGCAAGATGTTAATTCAGAAGGCTGTCCACTTTTGAGGAAAAAAAATCCATTATTCTAAAAGAAAAGAAGAAGTTGATGAATGGTCGTTATCTACTGTATAAATGTGCGAATGTGAAAGAAATATGAGGGATTTATTTTTTAAATTAGGGTTGGTTTGGTGTCATATTGATGGACTCTGAGCAGCTTTACCAGAACAGAGAGAGGCTAAAGAGCAGAATCCTTTTTCTGGTCTAAATGTGTAATAAACAAAGGGAGTCTTTCTATTGCTGTTATCTATAAGTTAGAAATGACACATACCTTTTTCAGTGTTTGAACAGGACAAAGATCATTGCCATTATTGCCTATATAGACATAGCTTTGCTGTAAGTACTATATTCTTTTGATGAAATAAAGCCTGATGGATAAAGAGGCAGAGTTAAAGGTTTAAATCTTTTATGTAATATACTGCTAAATTTTTTATAGTTGTTACTAATAATTTTATTCATACATTTCAACAGGGCAAAAATTGAAAGAGTCATAAATCCCACATGTATGAACCAACCATGTTCACAATAAAAACCTCCAATCAGAGGCAGCGCTCTTTCCTTTGTAACTTGCACCGATTTCTTTGTTAATCATCTTGCCTTCGATATATAATCAAATTGTTTATTTCAAAACATTTTCTTGAAGATTTTATTTTCGTTTTTTAAGTAGGTCAATAATTAAATGCATCAAAACCTTAAAAAAATTTCCTAAAATCTTCTCGTACAAACATGTTTCAACTATTAGTTTAATATGACAACGGCTTTTAAATGTCGTTTTTAAAGCAAAACATAGGGTGTGGTCTTTATAAAAGACGTCTATATAAAAATGTCTTCAAATTGTCATTCTAAAGGTATGTTACCTGAAGAAAACTGAACAAAAAAAAGGAAAATAAGTATAAACCGATTAAGGGCCTTAAAGAAACATGCAGAATGTTGAAGTACATAAGTCCTTTTTGCTGCTTCCCTACTTAGAGATCAGTATACAGCCTTTGAAACTTGCACAGATCACATAGGTTTCATGCTTCTTACACAACTGGGATTGTATTTTGATGCCCCATATTAAAGAGGCAGACTACCACTCTTAATGCAATGTTCTGTAATGCAAATTAAAAAAAAAGGCAGGACTCCCTGCTATCAATAAACTCTGCCATTTTTGAAAATTTTTGGTTTCTTATTAAATTACAACTAATTAAATATATACACATTTTCAATTAAATTAAATTAATTATTCACCTGAGGCATTGTCAATATGAATGTAAAAATCATTAGTTTCCTTCTGGAAATCAAGTCTAAATCTAGTTGCCAACAAATCTAAGGTGTATAAAACCTAAAATAGTTGCTCTTAAATTAACCTCTGTCTCAGATTACTTTCAAGTAGATACTAGCATAAACATTTAATATGAAAGCATTTAGGTGAACTAAGCTGCATTTTTTTCAAGTATCAAACAAATGATTAGAAAATATTTTTTGTGTCAAATTCATAAAAACCATCAATATTTAATTTCGTATTTGGTCACCTGGCATGAATTTTCTGATGTGATTAAAATAATGTGATCAAAAAGTAGTTGTGACCTCAACAACCTGAACATTTCCATTCTGCAGAGACATCTCTTTTGTCAAAATAAACCCACAAATCTGATGATGGAGTACATAAGAATTGAATTAACTTCAAAATAAAAGCTCTCGCTCCACAGATAAAATCGGTGCGTGAATAATGGATGAGAGATGGGAATTGGATGACAGGGCCGTGCCGTCGAGGCTCACAGTGATCTGTGCTCCACATATCATCGCTCATTAAAAACTACCTTGTGTCAGTCTTGTAAACCAGAACAGGCACAGATGAATGAAGGAAGGAGAACGGAGAGAAGATGGAATGGGAATAAAAGAGGACGCTCTTCAAATCTACGTTCAGTCTAGACTCTGTTAGGAAAGGACTGTTAGACAAGATGTCTTGGTCTGTCCTATTATAAATATAATGTGTTTCTCGACTTTTTCTTCAGTCAAACAAATTGCTTTCTGTGAAGGACATTTCCTACGGAGTGGGTGATAGTAATGGGAAGAGAGGGTGTTATTACAGAGGAAAGGAAAAAAGGGAGTCAGGTGGGATATTTTTATTATCTCCTTAAGGCTCTTTCTTTAATCTTCACTTCTCAATCTGCTATTCTGCGTTTCCTTCCATAGTTCATTGTTTAGAACTTCTCTGTTAAAAAACAAACCTAAACTCAAGAGGGTCTAAATCAAAGTCAGCACTGAGGATCGGATAGAGAATCAAAGGAGCGCAGGAAAGAAAAAAAAGTAACAGATCCACTGACAGAGTCTTTCTCTCACTTAGAAAAAGTGAGTTATGGAGTTCTTGAAGTAGTCAAAGTGTGACCACATCTCATCTCACCCCTCCTTGTTTTTCCCTCCTTTAATGTCATTTTCATTTCTCTTCGTTCACCTCTAGCTGGAATGAGAATCCCTTAGCTCAGAATAATAAAGCACTAAAAGAAGAGATTACCAAAAGCTCCTCAAAGTGGCTCAGCAGAGCAAAGGCCAAAGCCCTTCCTTGCAGTGGTGAGGGTCTGGATCTAGTCCATGACCTTTAACACCAGGGGCTCAATGGGTTCTTTGGGTGTGATTGGTTTTTGGTCCTGTGTTAAATAAGTTATGAGCTATCAGGGGCACAAAATCTAAAGAAAAAACATGCCTCCATCTGATCTTAAGTGGGCTAAAAGAAAAATATTATCTAATAAAATGAAAGGTAACATAATCTAAAAGAGATTACAGAGAAACTATGAGGTATCGGAATAGTACTTTTTTACATGTCATACCTCAGACTAAGTATACAATCCCTGTCACATGGTTCTCTATGAGACCTATCCTTTAAATATTAAAATCCAATAAACAATACTCATAATCCAACCAAAAAGATGAAGATTAAATCCTTGAAACCCTTACAACATTACACACACTTTAATAAGCCATATTAATAGTAAAACAAATTAGTAAATTTCTCTGTTAAAAAAAGAAAAACAACAGAACAGTTTAGTTATTATTTTATAATTTTCAACATGTGCTTTGTCTATCCTGCTATTGTCACCATGAACTTGAAAAAGCAATAAAAAATTATTAGAGAAAAAAAAACACAGTCCAGATGTTAAAACAGCAGGTATTTATGTTTGACTAATAACATTCATACATCAGAAGATCTAGAGGGGATGAAACTACAACCAATGGTGCAATTTACTTGATTACTGTATTTAAGTAATTTTTCAAAATATATGAACTTTAGTAGAGTATTTTTTGAAGGTACTTCCAAAACTACTCTACTTTTACTACTCTGCTGCATTTCAAGGAAGCTCCTAGTTACTTGTTACTTTTTAAATGCGATTTCAATATGCAAGATAGCAGCCCTTAGGACTAAATTTGAACTCCGCTGTTTTAGAGATTTGCATGACCTTCCACAAATGTGAGAAACTCAGGGCAGATATTTTTTTAGTTTATAATTTTAATTAGGGTGTTGCCATATAACGAAGTTCTTTAGTAGGAGGAGTTGCAGGTTCTTTGCGGTAATAGATTCAACCTTGAACCTCTATTTCATAATGAAAATGTGAGGAGAAGCAGGACAATCCTGTGTTGTTTTTGCTTTGTTTTTAAATAAGAAATAATAACCAAAATAGCATTTTTGAGCATTTTAATGCTGAAGTTCCTTACAAGTTGTGCAGAATTTGTAGCAGATGGTTCTAAGCATCAATATATCAGGTGGTTTCTGAAAGTTACATGGCACTTAAAAATCACTCTGAAAATAAAACTGAAAATTACACAGAAATGTACTGATATAAGAAAGTTCAATTAGTATTTTTGAATAATTAAGTACTTTTAAATCAATGTGCTTTTGAATACTTAAGTATTTTCAAAAGTGAGTACTTCAACACTTTAACTTCAGTCGATGTCTGACTGAGTAACTTTAACTTAGTTGAGTAAGATTTGACTATGAGCATCAAAACTTTTACTCAACTACTACTCTTGAGTACTTTGTCCACCATTGACTACAACAGATCCAAAATATATGGAAAAAAGCAGTGCAGTCAGATAAAAACTAATAAAGCAGGGGGAAAATGTATAAAAAGTCATGTGGAATGTTAAAAAGCTGATACTTGACAGCATAGGATGGATTTTAATCAGCAAAGTGTGTTTGGCTAATTAAAGTCTGACTTATACTGTTGTTTGATAAATTTTGCATCAGTTTTTCCTACTCCTTTAAAAAGCTCAATTTCAGAGATTATAGCCTCAAAATAATAACTTCTGATGAAGTTTTGGGACCAGCTTTTTTCTTTTGCCAAACATCACACAGCATTTTTACAGAGAGAGACTGAGCTCAAAAGAAAATGCAAGAAGACAGTTTTAATTTATTCCTGTGAAAGCTTGCTGCATGAATAAAACATGCCATCTTCAAAGGAAAAAAATAATAAAGCAAAATAATAAATTGCCATTGCATGATTCCAGATCGTTCTTTTTGACACACAAATGTGGAACAGTAAGGGAACTGACTCATATGAGTTTTTTTAGCTGGTTAACAAGAGAGCTAGAATCACAAAATAAACCAAAGTACTGTATAGCTTTCTCTGTTTAATATTTCACTTATTTTTTTAAAGTAGACAGGAATTGTATTTGCATCTGTATTTCAATTATTTAACAGCCTCCAGAGTCAAATGTTCAAAAAAATTGAAAACATCAATCGTTCAAAAGCACCAAGTTTATGTAAATCTATACCTGATCCAATGACTTCCTCTATTTTGACACAGGAAGGGTCAATTTCTTTGGCAAATTCCCGCACCGCCTCATTGGGGTCTTCATAGGTAAAAGGGTCAATATAGATCTTGACCCCTGGTGAACTGCGACCCTCAGATAGGGTGGGAAAAGTCACAGTGGGGGTCGGACCACTGAACATGTCGGGCCTCAGAGTTATTTCTAAAAATAAAGTAAAAAGTTATTAGTATAGACAGATATATATACACAGACATATATATACATATATATATGTGTGTGTGTGTGTGTGTGTGTGTTTATGTAGGTGTGGTTGTGTGTGTGTGGGCGTCTATTCATGAAATGGAGGGGACGATTTTCCATAAATCTTAGCACATCATGGAGACAGAGTGCTCTAGTGGGGACCAGTGTCTCAGTGAAAAAAAATGTTTTAGGCTTAGCTGTTAGGTTTAGGACTAAGGTTTGAATTGAGTTTAGGTTGGGATTAGGGTTAAGTATGAACCTGTAATGGTTATTAGGGCTAGGGTCACAGTTAGGCATTAGAAATTGGTTAGCAGTGAATGGAAGTCAATTGAAAGTCCCTACGAGGATAGAAAAATGTGCTTGTGGGTGTGAGTGTGTCTGTGGGTGAGTGTGTGTGAAAGCAGAATTTTTGCTTCATTAATAATTTTCATAACAATGAAATAAAGATTGCGGCTGTACCTCCTCCTGTGTTGTACTGCTGCAGCTTGTCACCATACACACTCTCCTTCAAATGTCTCCTCCTACAGTGAGAAAGGAAAAACAGCCAAAGCTTCAGGGGAAGAAGTCCTAAGAACACATACATTTTACACAACAGCTCTGAATGTTGCAAAAGTAAAATGCAAATTGACAATTCTATATCAAACTGGGTTGAGGTAAAATAGTCTTCTGGTCAAAAGAGAAGGCTAAGTTTAAACGACTATTACTGCACTCTGTCATCAGCTCTCGCTTTTCTAGCTTCTCCTCGTAAATGAAAGAACAAGTAGAAGCTCCCTGCAGTTTCTTCATCTGTCATTAGATCTTTAGAAGATACATAATAATGGCACATTTCAATAAATTATGGTATAATCAGAAGGTTGATTATTTAATCATCTATACCAAAAAATAGAAATTCATTCTTTATTGAAAGTATTATGTATAGTTTATTATATGTCAAGTTTTTAGTTTTATTTCTTGTCCTACTTGTATGTTGTGTTTATATCATGACAATTAAGGGAAATGGCAGATATGGCCACATGTTAACATGAAGACCAAGCAGATAATTTAAATACAAAAATGGTAGTCTAATTAAATACCATATATCCATGTACTGTATTAAGTTCTGTTCTTGTCTAGTGCTACTCCAAAAATTGTACTCAAGTAAGAATAGCAATACTTTAAAATTTTTTTACTTAAGTAAAATAGTATTCGCTAAAAAGGCTGCTAAGAAACTGTTGGATAATAACATCTGATTTAATGTTTATAAATGGTGCTGGCACTTAGAAAACCAATCAGTACAATGAGAACAGTATATATACAGTATTAGGGTAAGGGAACAAACTTCCACTGTTTATATCTACTGTATGTTTACCTGATTTTGTAATGGTTCAAATTACTCAGAGAGGACAGCGTAGTCAGAGATTTTCTTCAGGTAGGAGTAGTGATACTTTCAACAATATTACTCAGGTAAAAATAAAAAGTACAGCACAATAAACCTACTCATAATTTTTTATTTTTTTTCAAACTGTAACTCGAGTTACTAAATGTAACTAATTACTTACTACCCACCTGTGAATGTACTTTATTACAGTACATTCACAAGCAAAACTAAGATCTACACAGAGCGGTTCAAGCAGCTGCTATGATTTCCGTACATATTAGGATGCAAGTAGAAAGAAAATATACTATCTGACAGACAACTTTTATGTCAGTCTAGAGCACAAGAGGACCATAAGATAATTTCAATAATAATCCTGAAAGAGGACTCCTTTCTTTTTTATGATTGATCATATGTTTTATTCTCTAAGAAAAAACATTTTGGGGTTTAAATTGGTGTAAGCCATAATGATCAAAATCAGGAATTAGAAAAGCTTGAATTACAGTGTATCTGACTCTAGAAAATGAAGTGAAGCTATGAGTTTCAGATGTCAACTGGGGCTGCATAGTTGCCACATTGGTTAGAGCAGTAATTGGATTTTATCCACAGCTAAGGCTGGGCAAAAAATAATATCAGAATATATAACAATACATACCTGATCAATATCAATAGAAAATATGTCTGACAGAAAGATCTATAATTGCACTGAACCCTTCTCCAGAACCGCCTTGCATTCTCGGTGATTTGAGCAGAGAGAAGGATTTAGCCTCTTAACCTCTATAAGCCAAGCTAAGTAAGGTTGGTGACAGGGCTGCCCTCCTTTTTATGGTTCATGCATACTGTAAGTTCAGCAAAGGTTAGGGAAACAATTTCAATCAGCACTTTCCCTGGTCTTTCTTTTAGTTAAAACTGGTCTTTCTTTTAGTTAAAAAAAAAAATTATAATATATATATATATATATATATATATATATATATATATATATATATATATATATATACAGTATATATATAATTACCAATATCAACTGGTATGAAACACTATACAACAAACTATGTTCGAATTCACAATCTTCTTCAACACTTGAGAATATATGTGTTTAATTGAAATATTTAATTACTGCAAAAAGTTCTAGTCCAGATGTAAAAAAACTGAAAGGTAAGGAAAACATTTTCTATAGATCGATAACATTTTCAACACAAGTAAATAGAGAATTAGAGCAGTTGAAATGAACACAAACCAATGAAATTGATTTAGCTTTTTGGCTAGAGGCCTATAGAACAACAAAGACAACAATCAGTCAGAGCAAACTAAACAGTATTTAGGTGAGATGAATTCTTAATGCCCTCTGGCCAGACAAGATCAGCAGCTATCATTTGTGCGTAAGCATACCATAACTAAGTCAACTCATTGGAAAGCCATTTTTAAATGGAACCAATTGAGTTTTTTCAGATAACTCAGAGTTACCTGGAAATCGGACCACCTAAAAAAAAAAAAATTTGTTCACCCATCGAAAAGGTCAGATTTCAGAGATTAACCCCAGAAATATACCTGATAGCAGAAACAAAGAAAATATTGGCCCAGACTTGCATAGAAGATAAAAGCAAAGTGAAAACGGCTGTTGAAGGCTCTTTAAATGTTCTTATTTTAGAAGAAAAACTATAATTTTTAAATCTCATTCTGTACTTTCAAGAATCTCTGTTAAATAGTAAAGTTTATATTTCAGATTAACTAAAGCTACAGATGATTAAACAAAATTTTGAATAAAAAACAGTAAAATAAGTATATTCCACTGAACAGAAAATATTCCACTGAAGATAAATATATCAAACACCAACATACTCACCCTCAAACTCTCATTGATCTACAGGTTTACAACCTGTTAGCTTAAAAATAATTGATCTTTTATTTAATCTAAATGCTAAATTTGAGTTCTGATTGTTTATATTTCATAGTTACCTATGTTATTAACCAATTTTAAATGTTTAAAGCCTGGATCATTAAATTATTACTTTCAGAAAATTGTGTGTTTTTCAAACTACAGTTGTCACTGAGCTTCTGTATATATTGAAATTATCTATAGGTTAAATTTGATAATTTATTTCCCTAACATGTGCATCATTTAAAATACATTATATGTATAATCTTTTATAGATTTACCTGGTGCATATGATGGCAAGAGCTACCAATGAGACGACACACACTCCACCTACTAAAGAACTTGCAGTCAGATAGAGCTGCTGTCCAAGCTCTGACTTGTACTCATCTGCAGGGGCAAAAACAAATACATAAATAATTTAGCAAACAAACTGGTATGAAGGATTTTATTTTTCTCTCTCTTTCATATGCCTACAACAGGCGATTCGACAGTGAATATGTATCAAACAACTAAAATCTCCAACAACTCTAAATATGTGGGCAAAATGAATCACCTTACAGACAGGCATTCACTTTACAACCCTTTTCCCTCTCAGAAACCCTTTCCTGTTACAGAAAACCTCCACTCACACACATCTCCACACACTCCAGCCACCCACCCACGCTCTTACCATCAGTGAGGGTTTGAAAGAGCATCTCTTTGCTGTAGGCTCCGTAGCCGGCCACAGTGCGGGCCCTCACCTGGACCACATAGCCTGTGCCAGGCCTCAGGCCCTCAAGGACAACGTTGGGTGTATCACTCTGGACCACTGAGCTGTTCAGCAACGATGACTGGAACTGCAATGAAGGCAGATCAATAATTCAGTGCATGACAGACTATACTGTTAGTTATTATAGGTGAGTCTTAATAAATTGGACTGAAATTTTAAAGTAAAATTTACTTTTTAATTCATTTCTAATAATTTCAATACAATTTGCACCATGTTTTTTCTCCCATGCTGTTTACATTCGATCACTGCTGCACTTTATGAAAGGTAAATATTATTTTCACTGCCAAGTTGCTGCTCATTTACTGTCTGAAAGCTGTACAAAACTAAATTTTGTTTTGCATATAACATTGCATACAAAATGACAATAAAAGTTGGCTAAGTCTAAGTCTAAACATAATTTATAAAAATGGTGGTTTATTTCAAGCATTTATTTCATTCATTTAGCTTATAGCTAACAACGACCAAAAATTCAGCTTCTTATAAAAAATGAGAACTTCTTTTCTAGAAATGTAGGCTAACTGAATAAAGCTGATCATGAACAGTATATATACTTGCTAGGGAAGGAAACTTTGCTTTTGATTTTCTTGTTGCTTCTAGTGTCAATGTGTTATTTTCTGTGAGATTTAGGTCTGACTGATTTGCTGGCCCGGCTCATTACCACTCAATTTATTTGCCCACATTGTTTTTTAGTAGAGTGGGCAAATATTATCAGAATCTGGGTGTCAGCAGAACAACCATAATCCAACTATATCTCAAAAAACTTGGAATTTGTTCCTTTTAATCTTTCTCCAACTCTAGAACCTTGATTTTAAAATAAGATGCAAAATATTATTTAGTCTAACAGAGAACTTTCACCCACTGAGAACCAACGAGCACCAATCCATTCTTCTCTCCTTAGCCCTAAACAAGATATTAGTTATGTATCTGCTTAAAGATTATGGCTTAACACACCAATCCAACAATTACTCCAGCTGCAGTCCACATTTAGTGACCTGAAGTTACAATAGTGTTTGCTTCACAATCATTTCATTGTTGTGATTGTTCCCTTTGCTTTTGCACAGGTGCAAATTTTTCTGGCACAATTTTCCTCCCATTTAACTTTTCATTAATTTGCTTGGATACACCCCATGATTGTCCACAGCAATCCCACCTCTTGTGCAGTTTCAGCTGGGGAAAAAAAAGGCACCAGCCACATGTGCCCTTCCAAAAAGAGCAGAAAAACAGCTCTAGAAAATGAATAGATGGATGCTTGAATAAAAAAATTCTCTGAACACCCACAATGACTGCAATTTATTAATGTAGTTGCCACATCTGCACATTTTTAAACCAATTTCAGCCAGTTAGATTATAGTTAACCAATATATGTTCAGTAGTTCACCAACTAAACATCATAAAATTATATCAGAACTCCAACATTATCTAACAGCTCCTTGTTGTTAAAATACCATATGTTGCCTTAAATAAAAAATATATAATAACCTACTGATACAAATGCTGAAAGGGATTGGATTCAAACTTTTATATTTATTTAAATGCTTCATTGTTTTCTTTGGTTTTAATGCACAGTAAGTAGTAATGAGTCACTTTTAACTCTCAGTTATCATCAGGTATTTTTTTTGTGTTGCCCTTTAAACTGTTACTTTTCAAAAAAAAAAAAAGATAACACTATGGTTTTGAATAATAGCAGGATACTGAAGTCTGTCACAGTACAATTTTAATAATTCTACAAACTTTCACCTTCACACCACAGAGTTCCTCTTTAATTACGTTGCGATTCTGTCCAAAAGCAATTGCTGGAAAAATCTTTAATCATAAAGACTATCCTATTACCTCAGCTACTAATCTATACCATCATCTCACTTGGCCCATCTCTGCTCTATCTTCCACTAATAACCAATAAAATAAGCAAAACATACATGCAGCTAGGCTCCAGCCCTTCTGCTTTGCAATCACCTTGACCCAACAAGGATAAGAGGATATAGAAATTGGATGGAGGTGCTTGTCTTGCTGCTCTTTTGTTAGCTTTTGGATTGCCTTTTTTCTAGACTTGTTTCTTCTGCTTGGTGAGTATTTTCTGAATTTTTATTTTTTTTTTTACCATCCACACAGTTGGCTGGATTTTCTTTTTTGTTTCTGCCAACTTTCTTTTCTCCATTTTTAGGACTACTCATTAGTTTTAATTTGACATAATCCTCTTTGATATGACATCAATTTTTCTGTTAATATTTCACTCTCTCTTTCAATTTATGGATGATTATCATTCCTATGTCAATTATTTTTCCAATGCATGCCACTTCTTTCCTGATGATCACTTTTCTTCTGTCTTGCCCTTTTAATTCATTCAACTTTTTTCAATCCATGCAAATATTATAAAGCCTTTTTGCAGTTAATTAGCTTTTACCCACAGAGAAAGATGAGCCTGTGGACTTCTTTTGTTCCATTCATCCCAATGTTATCTTTTCTATCTAATAAATCCAAGGCTGTCACCTTTTACCTCCATCTGTACCCCCTTCTCCTCATTTAAGACTTCCTATTTTCTGTCATTTTCTTTCAGATAACAAGGTTTTACAGAGGCTAAATCTAAGAGAGGAAGGCAGAATGAAAGGAATGCTGTTGTGGTGGCATGAAGGTAGAGGGAGGGAATTGTGCCGCGAGAATGAAGGACGGCAGGGTGGGGAGGTCAACGGCAGAGCAAAGTGGAGAGGAAAAGAGATGATGGTGATGATCAAGAATACAGCCCAGGAGGGAGAGGAGTGGGTGGAAATTGCCGGTAGATTGGGGAGAAAAAGGGCGGGTTATCAGAAGGAGACATGTGGTTAAATATGATTGAGTTTTATACCATAAATATTCATAGGGAAAACCCATTTTACACATGTCAGTCATTAAGTCTTTCTCTAGTATCAAAATAATCATCAGCAAGGCATTAAATGTCTTACTATGTTCCATGTCTTTATGGTAACAGACATAATTTATTTGAATATTATGTCTTTACTGTTGGGTGTAAAAGATATTATAGATTTATGTTACTAATATTAGCTGAAATTTAAGTGGGTGATTTGGGGTTTTGTAGAGTTCATAGAAAAATAAGTTGTGCGTAATGTTCGAATGTACCTACAGAAAAATATATGATGTAATTGGTAAAGTTTGTAATATAGAGTGTGTGGTGAGGAAGGCTTGGCTCCATGCTTAGTGGAGAAAAAAGGTTGGAGGGCAGCCCATCTGGGAAGGCCTGGTGGACAGAGATAAGTATTGGGGGGAAATTCTGACTTTCTCCACCATATCAAATTTACTGCATTAAAACTCATTATCTATAGAGTGGGAGTGAGTGAGGAGAGAGTAAGGAGCTGGAGGTGATGAGGAAGGTGAAAAAATTACAAAACCGTAAAAAAAAAAAAGAAGTGTGCAGCACAGCTGTCTGGTAAGGAGAGGCTTGTCCTCTCTCACCAGGCTTATCAAACTGTTCCCCTGGGACATCTTCACTTAAAGCTATGAGCTAAAATTAGTCTTTATGTGGTTGACTGCTTCACGGAGGAAAAGGCAGAATCCTAATTGACTTCTATATGAGACTTTATTAAAACAAAACTAACGGCAGATAAGGCTTACTAAGGGCAAAGTAACACGTTTGACAGTTTGTGTCAGAATGCAGCTATAATAAATATCTAGCACAACATCTCACTTTGTTTTTGGCTCATTTTTATTGTCCTCAAAGCTGTAAATACAGAACATTTTATCTTTTTTTGTTTACTATTCTTTACCTGCTTCTTGATAGAACCAGAGGAAGGTACTGCGCCTTGCCTAGGTTTAAGCCCCATAAATCTCTTTCACAATTTGTAGTAATAAAATACTGACTTGGGTTCCCATGATTAGGACTTTATTTGAGATATAGACACCAAGCACCATTTAGATGATATGTGAATTAAAACTGTTCCTAACAATGGGCCTCATGCAACGACCTTTTCGTATTCTTGTTTCTCTTACATTTTCTCCTACAATGGGATTTTACTAACACCTCACATCAGATTCAACAAATTTCCTTCACCTCAGTAAAAGCTTGTAAACTTAATGCAGTCGACCTGTGCGTAAGTGATTGTGTGTTCCTGAGAAATGTAATTCTGCATAATTACCACCCCAATAATTCTATATAAGGCAACGACTTCCCACGCTTGTCAAAAGATGTTTATTCGTAGAAATGGCATCGAAGATGAAGAAGATAAACTTTACTGTTTCAGAGATCAAAGTTCAACTGACAGAGGGCTGAGCAGTACCATTGAAGGACCAGTAAAAAACCAAGCAGTGGGAAATGAATTACAAGACCTGTAAATACTGTAGTTTCACTGTTACAGAAGTAAATATGTAAAAAAAAAAATCCTTTGATCTGAAATAAGTCAATGAAACTACTAATGGAAGAAAGAGGTACCAAATATTAAGTAAATCGCCATTGACCAAAACACAAAATTATGCAAAATCTCCTTTTAATACACAAACTGCACATCTCCAGACCACTTCTATCATCCCTTCATCCCACTCTCCATTTCTCTCATACAATGCATAAATATTTTAGACAGATCCAAACCCAAATATTCCACATTTAGTGTAATAAAAAGTCAAGTATGGAGTCAGAAAGGGGTCAAAATTATTGTAAACTTAAAAACATTTTGACTTCTTTCTGACTCCATAGTCAAGGAGCTGCCATCGAGTGAAATCAATGCTAACTTTCTATCCATATTCTTTTCCAGATGTTATTTCAACAGTAGCTTGATCTCTGACTGTTTTTTTTTTTAACAAAATAAAAGCAAATTAAAGTATCCCCTGGATACCGACATGCCTTGTAGTGACAGATAGTTCTGTCATCAGTCAAAAAAAATCTGATTTATAATTTTCCAATTGCATAATATATGATGTAGCCTAATAAAGTGGAAAATTGTAAAATGAAATGTAGTAATTTAGTGAAAAACTAGGTTTGGATAACAGCTGACTGATTGAGGAAGACTCCTAGATCAAGTCTGGAGCACCCGTACAATAGGATCCTCCCTGAGAGAAGATTAGAAATAGGGGAAAAATTGTGAA